AGAGACCCATAGATATACAGAGAGGTAACCAAAGACCATTAGAGATACACAAAGTTACACAGAGACCCATAGAGACAGAGAGACCCAGTAAAATGCACAGAGATACACATATATCTATAGAGATAGACAGAAATGCATAGAGACCCATATACATACACAGAGATACAGATGTAGTGGCATCACGGGATGTCACTGTGCAGTGTCGGCCCTAGAGGGGCACGGCATGCAGGGTAACGACATCGCGGACACCAGAATGGTGTGGGTGTAGTACCGGTCCTGAAGCGGCCCGGTGAGCGCTGATTGATAGCGCTAAAGGACAGGGTATGGGAGTACCGGCCGTAGGAATGAGGTTACTAAAGGCCATGGCACTCTGATGGACCCGAGAGGACACGTGACCAGTTAAGTCTACAAAGGGGCCCAAGTGGGGGCTATGGGTGGTAACGTGGTTAGCATCTAGATCCTACTCAAGGATTCTGGAAGGTGGTCGTGGCTAAGGGTGGAGCCAGCCACACCGCAGAGAATATAAGCCAGGTTCCCAGAGGGACCGGCGTTGTTGTTCATCCTGAATAAACCTTCGTCTATGTCTACGTTCTCCGCTCAACGAGTCTCGAGCTGTGGTCCCGGTCCGCAGTAGCTTGTTACGTTGTAATCAATGTAGTTAGCCTGGTGGTCACCACCATAGGTTGTTATTCTGTTAAGGGGAAGTTACCCCGTGTGTTGGAGGTAAATGAATGTGTTGCCTCCAAGTATATATCTGAAACTCAGTCAAACTCACTACACATATATAAACAGACTAGCGGTAAGTACCCGGCGTTGCCCGGGCGAAAAAGGCAGACACACACATGTAGTTGCACACACAAATCGACTGACACATACATACATAGACTGAACAAGAACAACTGGCATTCGCCAGTAAGTGGCAGTGACGTCACCACAACGCTTGTGCCAGGCTATGTGCACCTTGAGGCCACGTGAAGTGTCGAACGCTCGCTGCCAGGAGGTCATGGGGCAGATCCAGATGGCACAGGTCGACTGACTGAGACGACTGGCTGATGCACCACCTGTGCCCCCTACTGTGGCAACTTGCTGTGCCTTAGCCACCCAGCACTCCGCTCGTTGTTGTGAGCGTCACTCCTCCGCCCTCCATTGTTGTTGGAGGGTGACTGCATCCAACTGCCCTGTAGCGTTTTTCAGGAGCCTCCTCCACAGAGGCCAATCTTGACACGGCTGGTACCAGTCATCGGCAAGTCGAATCAGCTCCACGTCCTCCTGTACCTCATCACTCCATGTCTTCTCTAGCCCGTGCCGCGCCCATTTAGCCCCCTCAATCCGGCCAAACAAAAGCTGTTTAGGCATGCGGTGGCTGGCCATGCGGGCTACATGACTCAGGCAACGCAGTCTTGCCTGCCGGAGGAGCTCACCGATGGGACTTTGTGCACATTTTTCAAGGATTTGTGAGCTCCTCGCACAATGCAGCCCGGTTAAAGCCAGGATGGATCGTAGGCAGGCCATCCTAAATGTTTCTAACCAGCGAAGATGTTCCATTAGTGGGGTCCAAGTTTCGCAAGTGTAGAGAAGGGAGGGAATGACCGTGGCCGAGAAGACCTGAAGCTTAGTGCGGAGTGATAAACCAGGTAGCTTCCACGCAGTGTTACACAACCAATGAAAAGATAATGTGGCTCGACTGATTCGGCCTGAGACCTCTGCTGTTAAACCGGAGCCAGTCATTAGCACACTGGCCAGGTATGAGAAACTCTCCAATGTCTCCACAACTGCCCCATCACCAATTGGGAGTTGTGGGGGTGGAGTGTCCGATGGAACAAAATACCCAGGCATAGTTTTGGTGGGGCTGATGGTAAGGCCCCACCCCTTAGTGGCAAGCTCCAGGTTCAGCAGCAGCACCTCGAACTCCTCCTCCGAGTGAGCAGCAATTAGCAGATCATCGGCATACATAACGTGGTTGAGCAATAGGGAGCCATCCCTTGACTGCACCCGGGCATCGATCAGCCTCCCATTGTATCTGTAGCAGATGGTAATTCCTCCGAAGTACGTGGTAAAAATATACGTAAAATAATGTGGGAGGCAGACTTCCCTGTTGCACCCGAAGGTGTAAAGGGAATGGCTCTGACTCACGGTCATGCAGTTTGACGTGGGGCCGTTCACCATCATGAATGCCCTTAAGGATCGTGAGCAGAGGGTCAGGGACTCCGAAAGCACGAAGAACAACCCAGAGGCCAGGCCTACCGATGGTATCATAGGCCTTGACCAGGTCAATGAAGCACACACATGGACTAAGACAGACACAAGGACCAACAGACATGCAAAGAAATGGACTTACACTAACTAGCATGGAGCCACGCACACACAGCGACTAACACACACGCAACAACTGCCATTCGCCACTAAGTGGCGGTGACGTCACCACGACGCTTGTGCCAGGCCATGTGCACCTTGAGGCCACGTGAAGTGTCGAACGCCCGCTGGCAGGAGGTCACGGGGCAGACCCAGGTGCTACGGGTTGACTGACTGAGATGACCGAGATGACTGGCTGATGCACCACCTGTGCCCTCTACCGTGCTAACTTGCTGTGCTTCAGCCACCCGGTGCTCCGCTCGTTGTTCTGGTCGTCGCTCCTCCACCCTCCGTTGTTGCTGGAGGGCGACTGCCTTCAAACTGGCCAGTAGCGTCCTTCACGAGGCTCCTCCACAGAGGCCGATCTTGACAACGCTGGTACCAGTCATCGACAAGTCCACTCAGCTCCACGTCCTCCTGTATCACATCACTCCATCTCTTCTCTAGCCCGTGCCACGCCCATTTAGCCCCCTCGATCTGGCTGAACAAAAGCTGTTTCGGCATGCGGTGGCTGGGCATGCGGGTTACATGGCCCAGCCAACGTAGCCTTACCTGCCATAGGAGGTCACCAATGGGATTTTGTCCAGATCTTTCAAGAATTTGTGAGCTCATCACACAATCCAGCCTGGTTAAACCCAGGATGGATCGTAGGCAGGCCAGCCTAAATGTTTCTAACCAGCGAAGATGTTGCATTAGGGGTGTCCAAGATTCGCAAGCGTAGAGAAGGGAGGGAATGACCGTGGGCGAGAAGACCTGGAGTTTCGTGCGGAGCAAGAGACCAGGTAGCTTCCACACAGTGTTACAGAGCCGATGAAAAGATAATGCCTGCTCGACTGATTCGGAGTGAGGCCTCTAGTATTAAACCAGAGCCGGTCATGAGCACACTGGCCAGGTATGGGAAACTCTCCAATATCTCCACAACTGCCCCATCACCAATTGGGAGTTGTGGGGGTGGAGTGTCCGATGAAACAAAATACCCAGGCAGGTGCTTAGGTTTGGTGGGGCTGATGGCAAGGCCCCACCCCTTAGTGGCAAGCTCCAGGTTCAGCAGCAGCGCGTCCAACTCCTCTTCTGAGTGAGCATTAATTACCAGATCATCAGCATATATAATGTGGTTGACCAATAGGGACCCATCCCTTGACCGCACCCGGGCATCGATCAGCCTCCCATTGTATCTGTACCAGATGGGAATTCTTCCGGTACAGGCATTGAAGGCTTAATGAACTACGTGGTCCAAATATATGCAAAAGAATGTGGGAGGCAGAGGAAATGGCTCTGACTCACAGCCACGTAGTTTGACGTGGGGCCGCTCACCATCATGAAGGTCCTTAATTATCGTGAGCAGAGGGTCAGGGACTCCGAATACACGAAGAGCAACCCAAACGCCAGGCCTACTGATGGTATCATAGGCGTTGAGCAAGTAAATAAAGCACACACATGGACTAACACGCACACATGGACCTACAGGCACGCAAAGAAATGGATTTACACTAACATGGAGCCACGCACAAACAGCGACTACCACACACACAAATGGACTGACACACACATACATAGACTGACACACACATTGCCGTACACACGTAGACATATGGACTCTCACACACAGACATATGCTTTAGATACACACACATGGAGTTACACACACATATCAACTCACAAACATACATTGACTTACACACACACATCGAGTCACACGCACACATGTATAGACTTACACACACATATGGACTGACACACACGTACACATGGATGTACACACACACATTGACTGACACACAGACACACAAACGCATATTGACTTACACACTGACATGGAGCCATGCACACACATCGACCAATACACACACAGCGACTGATACACACACATGGACTGACTCTCCATTAGGAATCAATGTTACTAGGGCAGGTTAAATTCCTGGGGAAATTTACGATCGAATGTTTTTTTCATGTTTGTGTACATACATTGAACCACACCCTATATATACACATTAATGAATGCGTGCAATTGGAGTGCAGCAATGCACAGGCAGAGCTGCACCTTGTATATGAACCTGGAAATGCGACTTTAAGTGAAGCAGCGCTAAGTGAAACCCACTTTTCCATAGGAAGAAATGTTAATTGGGGAGGTTACGTTCCTGGGGTAATGTTCTACCACACTTAGGAACGTACAAACTTTCTTAACATATGAACCATCCTATATGAATGATAATAGGGTTTTCCTCTTTTTCTGGCAACAAAACAGGTGTTAAGATGTTAAAAAACCAAACTGAAACCTTTTACAAGGAACCATGTCTGCATTAACCACAATGCTTGTGGTCAGAATGCAAACAAAAAACATACTCTGATAATATATGCATTGTCCTTGAAACTGATTGGTCCACACCAGAGACAGCTTTCTTTTGAGCCTCATCTCAAATGGTGCTTGCATTCTGACCACACGCATTGTGGTTAATGCAGACATGATTCCTTGCAAAAGGTTTCAGTTTTGGTCTTTTAACATCTTAACACCTGTTTTGTTGCCAGAAAAAAGAAGAAAAACCTATTATCATATATTGGTACTAGCAAAGGAGGTCCCATGAGGGACCACCCTATATATATACTTGAATTTTCTAAACAAATGTATATATATGAACGGATGCATGCAGATGGCGCACAGTCATTCACGGGCGGAGCCCCGGGCTACATCTACGCCACCGGCCACATGAGCGGCTATTGGAGCGTCTTCTGCGCCAGGGCGTCTGCGCCCGGCGAGCGCCTGTCCTGGTTGACGACCTCGATAAATCTCCTGAAAATTTTCGCCGACGTCTACGCCGTAGGTTGCTCGCCCAACGAATGCTGGGCCTGTGACGCCTTGTACCGGCTGTGGCGTAAGCCCAACGTTGACTGCTCCAACACGACGTGGGTGAGGGCGAGTGGTCCAGACGCTCCGGCTTTGCCCAAGAAAATAGAGGTGGACTCCGCGGGTGGAGTCTACCTCCATGGAAACAATGCGCTACTCTACCACAGGTTAGAGTTGTGTTGTTAAGTCTATGGGTGGCAATGTTGAGTCTATGGTGCAGTGCTGAGTCTATGAATGAGTACTGAGTCTATGATGCAGTGTTGAGTCTATGGGCAGTGATGTTAATTATATGGTGCAGTGTTGAGTGTATGCGTCTCAGTGCTGAATCTATGGGCAATGCTGAGTCTATGGGTATTTTTGAGTCTATGGTGCAGTGTTTAATCTATGGGCAGTGTTGAGTCTATAGATAGCAGTGTTGTCTATTGGTAGTGTTGAGTCTATCGGCAGTGTTGAGTGTATGGGTGGCATTGCTGAGTCTATGGGTGGCAGTGTTGAGTGTATGGGTGGCCGTGTTGAGTCTATGCGTCGCATTGTTGAGTCTGTGCATGGCAAAGTTGAGTCTATGGGTGGCAGTGCTGACTCTGGGTGGCAGTGTTGAGTCTATGCATGGCAGTTTTGAGTTTATGGGTGGCAGTGTTAAATCTATGGGTGGCAGTGTTGAGTCTATGCATGGCAATGTTGAGTCTATGGGTGGAAGTGCCGACTCTATGGATGGCAGTGTTGAGGATATGGGTGGCAATGTTAAGTCTATGGATGGCAGTGTTGAGTATTTGCGTCGCATTGTTGAGTCTATGCGTGGCAGAGTTGAGTCTATGCGTGGCAGTGTTGAGTGCATGCGTGGCAGTGCTGAGTCTATAGCTGGCAGTGTTGAGTCTATGGGTGGAAGTGCCGACTCTATGGGTGGCAGTGTTGAGGATATGGGTGGCAATGTTAACTCTATGGATGGCAGTGTTGAGTATTTGCGTCGCATTGTTGAGTCTATGCGTGGCAGAGTTGAGTCTATGCGTGGCAGTGTTGAGTGTATGCGTGGCAGTGCCGAGTCTATGGCTGGCAGTGATGAGTCTATGGGTGGCAGTGCCGACTATATGGGTGGCAGTGTTGAGTGTATGGGTGGAAGTGCTGACTCTATGGGTGGCAGTGATGAGTGTATGGGTGGCATTGTTGAGTCTATGCATGGCAGTTTTGAGTCTATGGGTGGCAGTGTTGAATCTATGGATGGCAGTGTTGAGTCTATGCATGGCAATGTTTAGTCTATGCGTGGCATTGTTGAGTCTATGCGTGGCAGTTTTGAGTCTATGGGTGGCAGTGTTGAATCTATGGGTGGCAGCGTTGAGTCTATGGTTGGCAGTGTTTGAGTCTATGCCTGGCAATGTTGAGTCAATGCGTAGCAGTGCTGAATCTATGGCTGGCAGTGTTGAGTCTATGGGTGGCAGAGTTGAATCTGTGGGTGGCAATGTTGAGTGTATGTGTGGCAGTGCTGACTCTATGGGTGGCAGTGTTGAGTCTATGGGTGGCAATGTTGAGTGTTTGGGTATCAGTGCTGACTCCATGGGTGGCAGTGTTGAGGATAGGGTGGTAATGTTAACTCTATGGATGGCAGTGTTGAGTATTTTCGTCGCATTGTTGAGTCTATGCATGTCAGAGTTGAGTCTATCCGTGGCAGTCCTGAGTCTATGGCTGGCAGTGTTGAGTCTATGCGTCACATTGTTGAGGCTATGTGTGGAATTGTTGTGTCTATGCGTGGCAGTGTTGAGTGTATGGGTGGCAGTGTTGAGTCTATGGGTGGAAGTGTTGAGTTTCATGGGTGACAGTGCCGAGTCTATGGGTGGCAGTACTAACACTATGGGTGGCAGTGTTGGGTCTATGGGTGGCAATGTTTAGTGTTTGGGTATCAGTGCTGAGTCTTATGGGTGGCAGTGTTGAGACTATCGGTGGCAGTGCTAAGGATGGCAGTGTTGAGTATATTAGTGGCAGTGTTGATTCTATGGGTGGCAGTGCTGAGTGTATGGGTGGCATTGTTGAGTCTATGCATGGCAGTTTTGAGTCTATGGGTGGCAGTGTTGAATCTATGGCTGGCAGTGTTGAGTCTATGGGTGGAAGTGCCGACTCTATGGGTGGCAGTGTTGAGGATATGGGTGGCAATGTTAACTCTATGGATGGCAGTGTTGAGTATTTGCGTCGCATTGTTGAGTCTATGCGTGGCAGAGTTGAGTCTATGCGTGGCAGTGTTGAGTGTATGCGTGGCAGTGCCGAGTCTATGGCTGGCAGTGATGAGTCTATGGGTGGCAGTGCCGACTATATGGGTGGCAGTGTTGAGTGTATGGGTGGAAGTGCTGACTCTATGGGTGGCAGTGCTGAGTGTATGGGTGGCATTGTTGAGTCTATGCATGGCAGTTTTGAGTCTATGGGTGGCAGTGTTGAATCTATGGGTGGCAGTGTTGAGTCTATGCATGGCAATGTTGAGTCTATGCGTGGCATTGTTGAGTCTATGCGTGGCAGTTTTGAGTCTATGGGTGGCAGTGTTGAATCTATGGGTGGCAGCGTTGAGTCTATGGTTGGCAGTGTTTGAGTCTATGCCTGGCAATGTTGAGTCAATGCGTAGCAGTGCTGAATCTATGGCTGGCAGTGTTGAGTCTATGGGTGGCAGAGTTGAATCTGTGGGTGGCAATGTTGAGTGTATGTGTGGCAGTGCTGACTCTATGGGTGGCAGTGTTGAGTCTATGGGTGGCAATGTTGAGTGTTTGGGTATCAGTACTGACTCCATGGGTGGCAGTGTTGAGGATAGGGTGGTAATGTTAACTCTATGGATGGCAGTGTTGAGTATTTTCGTCGCATTGTTGAGTCTATGCATGTCAGAGTTGAGTCTATCCGTGGCAGTCCTGAGTCTATGGCTGGCAGTGTTGAGTCTATGCGTCACATTGTTGAGGCTATGTGTGGAATTGTTGTGTCTATGCGTGGCAGTGTTGAGTGTATGGGTGGCAGTGTTGAGTCTATGGGTGGAAGTGTTGAGTTTCATGGGTGGCAGTGCCGAGTCTATGGGTGGCAGTACTAACACTATGGGTGGCAGTGTTGGGTCTATGGGTGGCAATGTTTAGTGTTTGGGTATCAGTGCTGAGTCTTATGGGTGGCAGTGTTGAGACTATCGGTGGCAGTGCTAAGGATGGCAGTGTTGAGTATATTAGTGGCAGTGTTGATTCTATGGGTGGCAGTGCTGAGTGTATGGGTGGCATTGTTGAGTCTATGCATGGCAGTTTTGAGTCTATGGGTGGCAGTGTTGAATCTATGGGTGGCAGTGTTGAGTCTATGCATGGCAATGTTGAGTCTATGCGTGGCAGTGTTGAGTCTATTATGGGTGGCAGAGTTGAATCTGTGGATGGCAATGTTGAGTGTATGTGTGGCAGTGCTGACTCTATGGGTGGCAATGCTGAGTCTATGGGTGGCAGTGCCGACTCTATGGGTGGCTGTGTTGAGTATATGGGTTGCAATGTTAACTCTATGTATGGCAGTGTTGAATATTTGCATCGCATTGTTGAGTCTATGCATGGCAGAGTTGAGTCTATGCGTGGCAGTGCTTGAGTATATGGCTGGCAGTGTTGAGTATATGGGTGACAGTGTTGAGTCTATGCGTGGCAGTGCTGAGTCTATGGCTGGCAGTGGTGAGTCTATGGGTGGCCAGTGCTGACTCTATGGGTGGCAGTGCTGACTCTATAGGTGGCAATGCTGAGTCTTATGGGTGGCAGTGTTGATTATATGGATGGCAGTGCCGACTCTATGGGTGGCATTGTTGAGTCTATGCGTGGAAGTTTTGAGTCTATGGGTAGCAGTGTTGAATCTATGGGTGGCAGCGTTGAGTCTATGGTTGGCAGTGTTGAGTCTATGCCTGGCAATGTTGAGTCAATGCGTAGCAGTGCTGAATCTATGGCTGGCAGTGTTGAATCTATGAGTGGCAGTGTTGAATCTGTGGGTGGCAGTGTTGAGTCTATGGGTGGCAGTGCTGACTATGGGTGGCAGTGCCGACTCTATGTATGGCAGTGTTGAGTATTTGCATCGCATTGTTGAGTCTATGCGTAGCAGAGCTGAGTCTATATGTGGCAATGTTGAGTCTATGGGTGGAATTATCGCGTCTATGCGTGGCAGTGTTGAGTCTATGGATGGCAGTGTTAAGTCTATTGGTGGCAGTGCTGACTCTATGGATGGCAGTGGAGTCTTTGGGTGGCAGTGCTGACTATGGATGGCAGTGTTGAGTCTTTGGGTAGCAGTGTTGAGTCTGTGGGTGGCAGTGTTGAGTCTATGCGTGGCAGTGCTGAGTCTATGGCTGGCAGTGTTGAGTCTATGGGTGGCAGTGTTGAGTCTATGGGTGGCAGTGTTGAGTCCATGGGTGGCAGTGCTGACTCTATGGGTGGCAGTGTTGAGTACGTGGGTGGCATTTTTGAGTCTATGCATGGCAGTTTTGAGTCTATGGGTGGCAGTGTTGAATCTATGGTTGGCAGTGTTGAGTCTACTGGTGGCAGTGTTGAGTTTCATGGGTGGCAGTGCTGAGTCTATTGGTGGCAGTGCTGACTCTATGGATGGCAGTGTTGAGTGTATGGGTGGCAATGCTGACTCTATTGGTGGCAGTGTTGAGTCTGTGTGGCAGTGCTGACTCTATGGGTGGCAGTGCTGAGTGTATGGGTGGAAGTGCTGACTATGGGTGGCAGTGTTAAGTCTGTGCGTGGCAGTGCTCATTCGATGGTTGCCATTGTTGAGTCTGTGGGTGGCAGTGCTGATTTTATGGGTGGCGGTGCTGAGTTTATGGTGCAGTGCTGAGTCTTTGGTGTATCTGTTCTTCTCAAAGGGCTGGGAATGAAACGGCGTGGACTCAGCCAATGCCCAATGAATACTTCAAGTCCATCACTGTCCACGAATCTAACCTTATCGTCATAGACGATACCGGGACCATGAAGATATGCAAACTGTGACACCATTATTCGCTCACCCACCCACTCACTCACCTGTTCGCCCCCTTACCCACCAACTCACCCACCCACTCACCCACCCTCTCACTCAATCACCCACTCATACGCCCATTCACTCTTTCACCGACCTACTCACTCACCCACCTACTCCCTCACCCACTTTCTCACCCACCCACTCTCTCACCCATCCATTATCTCACCCTCTCACCTATCCAGTCATCCACCCATTCTCTCAACCACTCACCCATTAATCCACCCACTCACCCACCTACTTACCCACCCACTCACACACTCATCTGCCCACTCACCGAAGTACCCACTCACTCACCCACTCATTCACTCGCCCATCCACTCACCCATTCATCCGCTCACCCACCCACTCACCCACCCACTCACTCGCCCTCCCACTCATCCACCCACCCATTAACCCACCCAGGTGAAAGATACGTGGTGGTGAGTTATTTTGTTGTTGTTGTTGTGTTTTGAGATTCAATTTAACCAAATAAGAACATTCAACAAAGAGTGGAATCTACGGAACTTCAATGGAGAGTCATTCAGCAGCCTTTACAGAGACACCTCGATATACAAAGATGTTATCTGCATCGTCTGGTATGCCGGAGGTCTTGGGTGATGGTGGTGATGGTGGTGACGGGGGTGATTGCGATTGTGGTTGTGATGGTGGTAGTTATGGTGGTGGTCGTAGTCATGGTGGTGGTGATGTGGATGATGGTGATGGTGGCGGGGATGGTGGTGGTGATGGCAATGGTGAAGGTGGTGAAGGGGGTTGATGGGAATGGTGGTGGTCTTGTATTTATTGTTCTAAAAAACGAATTAAATGTAAAAACGAAATATTTAAATTACGTAAAATTTGTTAATGTAGGTAATTAAGTGTGATTAACTAAAAATATGCGTTAGGTGTAATTAAGAATGTGTTAAAAATGTGTTATATGATTAATGTATGTGTTAGTGTTTGTGCATGCCTAAACAACTTTTGTTCGGCCGGATAGAGGGGGTTTAACGGGGGCGGCACGGGCAGAGAAGAGATGGAGTGATGTGGTACAGGAGGATGTGGAGTTGAGTGGACCGATGACTGATACCAGCAATGTCAATATCGGTCTCTGTGGAGGAGGCTCGTGAAGGACGCTACTGGGCAGTTGTAGGCAGTCGCCCTCCAACAACAACACAGGGCGGAGGAGCGACGCTCACAAACACGTGTGGAGCGCCGGGTGGAAATAGCACATCAAGTTGGTACAGTGGGGTCACAGGTGGTGCATCAGCCAGTTATCTCAGTCGACCTGTGGCACCTGGGTCTGCCCCGTGACCTGCTAGCGGGCGTTCGACACTTCACATGGTCTCAACGTGCACATAGCCTGGCACAAGCGTCGTGGTGACATCACCGCCACTTAGTGGCGAATGGCGGTTGTTGTGTGTGTCGTTATGTTGTGCAATTTATTATTGTCTCTCTCGTTGTATAGGGGTATGCATCATCGATTGAGATAATCGCAATGATTCTCGCTTCAATATATATGATACTCGCTTCAACATTTATGATTCTCGCTTCAGCATTTCTGATTCACACTTTAATAGTTACATGTGAAATTATGTCAGGTCTTCGGGATTCAGATCTCACCGCCAGATACAGTTCGTTATTACAATGATGAACGAATTTAGTAAAGAAGCACTCGCAAATCTGTTTTTCATCAAAGCAACTTTAATCTCAACTTAACCTAACATCCAACAACTCTTATCATCAGTATTCCAACAGTGCCCATGGAAATATACGTCATCAATCCGTACTGGATGATCATAAAAGCATATCACTGATCACGTGGTTAAACCAGAACAATAGGCAACGCGAACACCGCCTCCTCTTCGGGTCCCCATTCAAATCTCTGATTTTTAGCAGTTAGCACGTGCAGTGGTTTAGCGAGCGTAGAAAACTGTGGAACAAACCGACGGTAGTACGACACGAACCCAACAAAACTCCATACATCCCCGACACACGTAGGGGTCGACCAGTCCCGAACACAAGCCGTCTTGTCCGGATCCGTGGCGATACTGTCAGAGCTCACAAAGGGACCCAGATACCGCACGGAACGTTGCAACAGATGATATTTCTTAGGTTTAAACTTGAGGTTAGTGGAGCGCATTCCCTCAAAAACGGCATGCAAGCTTCGGAGGGGTTCCTCGAACGTGCGACTGAACACAATATTATCATGCAAATATATGAGGAAAGTGTTCCATTGCAATCCAGCCAAAACGAGCTCCATCAAGCGTTGGAACGTGGTGGGAGCGGAATTCAATCCCATCGGAAGACAGTTGAATTGAAAGAGTCCCTGAGGCATGCGGAACGTGGTCTTCGGCATTAAAGTGTCGTCCAGGGGCAACTGCCAAAACCCAGAAGGCAAATCGAGAGTCGAGAAATATCGCGCTCCTGACAGCGAATCGAGGGAGTCATCCATCCACGTATGAGGATACGCGTCAGCCATGGACACCTTATTAAGCTTGTAGAAATCACCGCAGAATGTGAGATTGCCATCCTGTGCCCCCCAAGAGCTGTTAGACGGAGAAATTATATCAGCGGCCAGCATATTGTTCACCGTGCTCTGCACCCATTCCTTTTCCGTAGGGCTCAAGTGGTGGGAATTTTGCCGATATAGGGCTGGCATCCCCGATATCAATGTGGTAGGACAAAAGTGACGTTCGACCCAAATCGAAATCATCTTTACTAAAGACATCAGCAAACTCGGTAAACAGCGCACGCAGCCCCACACGTTGGTCGGCAGACGACAAATTCTCCGACAACGACAAATTCTCCGACAACAAACCCGGCCAAGTCGAACCCACCACCCGGTAGGACATGCCTCGTCGTGGTCCGTAAAAGCGGCAGTGGCATGAGCCAGTACCATACCCGCAGGGACCAGAACCCCATCTGGGCCCCCTTTCAGAACCTGCAAAAATGGGGCCTGTCCAGAACGGACAATCGTCTGAGCGCCAACAAGAGAAAGACCCATGGTAGCAGAATTAGAGGGAGTCAAAAGAATTCAGCCGCCATATCCGCACCACAGAACCCTTTCCAATAACGCAATGGAATGAGCATCTGGGACCCCGGAGGAATTTCAACCGTAACATCTGCCAGTGCCTGTATGGCAGCGCACGGCGGTGAACAAAAGAGCGGGGACGGCAGAAAACAATTTGCGTCCGGAAGGCATCTCTAGACACCCTTGATCGACGATAATTTTAACAGACATTCTCCTGAGAAAATCAGTGCCCAACAAGCAGGGCATCCCACCAAGGACCACGAAATCAAGACCGGCCCTGACGCAGCAACACCCCCAATAGCAATATGGGCATCCACCTGACCGATGATGCCCCTACTTCCCCCATTGGCAGCAACGCAAGCGTCAAAAGCCGGACGGACCCGTGAGACGGGAATAGCCAGGAGCTGGAAAATAACATCGGAGATGATAGTGGCGGACACCCCTGTATCTACCAAAACATGTACATCCACACCCTGAATGGAACCGTGCACCGTCGAAGATCCAGTCGCTGAAGCAACGAGATTGCGTTACCGAGAGAGGCCAATCCCCAACCACAGTATCCGAATCACGATGCGATGGAACCCGACCCGTGACATGAGATGCCTGAGGTGACAACTGAGGCCGGGTGTCTGATGCGTACCAACTTGCCTGTACGGAAGGATGCCAGCCAGTTGACACAGGAGCTGGAGACAAAGCAGCAGGCGGCGTCGGAGAACGAGGCCGACTCCGGCAATCCCAGGTGAAGTGGCCCAAGCAGCCACACTTGAAGCATGTGACAGATGCCTGCCGAGCAGCCCCCTCGTCACCCCGGCATGGGCCGCAGGACCCTCGGCGACGTTGATCGGGCCCCAGCCGCGGGTCCCAACGAGGAACAGCGGCCGCCAGATCCCCGTCCCCCGGCGCATCGTGCGGAACGTGGACGAGCTTCAATGGTGATCACCCTTTAGGCTCACCGTCACGAGCTGGATTCTCCATCCAAGCAGCCATCTGGGCCCAGCGTTCAGGCACTTGGCGGCCCACAGCGAACGTCAGCGGCTCGTAACTGCAAACAGGCAGAACAACCCCCATGTCCTTTGCCAAAGCCAACATTCTACCCAAGATGAGCGAAGTCGAGTATTTCTGGCTTTAAATTTCGATTTAAAGCTTTCGTGACTGCAGGGATTCATCTTCTTGGTTCTTTCTGTAAAGTCACGTAGAAGGGAAGTAATAAAATAATAAAAATAAAACATAATAAAATCATATAATTCTCACGACGTTTCGGCTACAACGCAAGCAGCCGTCTTCAGGTGAAGAATGAGACACTGCCAAGCTAGGAGCTTATATATAAGCTGAGTTGGAGGTGGAAGAAGAAGAGAGCCTTAACAAAAGAATGTGCATATCAAGAGGAATTTAGCATATTCATGGGAAATGCGTAGGAGGTGGGCGGGGGGGTTTCAAAGTCATATTATGCCCATGCATTATGCAGGATCAGCAGCACCAAAGGGAGGGGGGGGGTAGCATTAACAAAGGGAGGGCATGTTAATAGTATGTACATATATACATACATACTATTAACATGCCCTCCCTTTGTTAATGCTACCCCCCCCCTCCCTTTGGTGCTGCTGATCCTGCATAATGCATGGGCATAATGACTTTGAAACCCCCCCGCCCACCTCCTACGCATTTCCCATGAATATGCTAAATTCCTCTTGATATGCACATTCTTTTGTTAAGGCTCTCTTCTTCTTCCACCTCCAACTCAGCTTATATATAAGCTCCTAGCTTGGCAGTGTCTCATTCTTCACCTGAAGACGGCTGCTTGCGTTGTAGCCGAAACGTCGTGAGAATTATTTGATTTTATTATGTTTTATTTTTATTATTTTATTACTTCCCTTCTACGTGACTTTACCGAAAGAACCAAGAAGATATTTCTGGCTTATAAGCAGCCACTGCCACCGCCATTAAAGCACTGCAGTAGGCCAGGGGAGTTTCGGAACTCCCCCGCCTGTGATGCATAAACTTCCGTTGGTTATCCGAAGGCGGCTCAAAAACCTCTGCCATTTCGGTAAACACGTCTTTCAGTGTCTAGTTTTCTGGAGGAATGGAACGGAACACCGCAAGCGCATCATCATCGAGCACGGTAGGTAAAGCAACCAAGGCTTCTTCTTCCGACCATCGCACAGAATCGAATGCCGCCTCAAAGTGCCACGTGAAAGTGCTCCAATCGCCGCCCCGCTGCGACGAATTCCTTGACGTGAGGAAAATGGTGGCTGCTCCCCACTCCGCCGCCTCCGGCAGCAGCAGCCTCGCATGGCGGCTCACCACGCGGCTCCTCGGAAATGGCGGACGCCGATCGCGCCCGAACAGCATCGCCCAAGATGGCGGCCTCCTGCCGCGTGGCATCCGTAGCGTGTGTAATGGCAGACAGTTCTCCCGCGACCGCAATGGCAGCCGTCGATTCCGCAGTGGGACCCTCGGAGATCCCCTATAGAGGCCTCTGCTCATCACCCCTCGGCGACACTGCTTGTGGGCATCCCGTCACCACAGATGACACGACCAGTGACACCAGCTGGAGAAGTGTGGGGACTAATGCCCCCCTCCTCCTCCGCCCATTCTCGTCGGGCTGCCGCCGATCGGATGGCTGGGAGTCCGAATGGGTAGCTGAACCGCTCGAGGAGAACTGACTAACGTTTTTCCTCCCCTCCCTTTGTCTCCTCTGAATCCAAAAATCCACTGTCATGTGGTGTGACCCTGCCAGCCAATCGGGCACCTACCTTTCGATTATAAACCAATGCCCCGCCCCTTACCTGGCGCGGCGCCGCCAGAGCACCTCCAACCATTGTCTGCGCACCCGTCCTCCCCCACGGACTCAACCGGTTTCATCGGGGTGGCCGTCCCGTAACCACGCAGGAATTTCCCTTCCACCTCTTATGTGCTGCTCGCTGAGCGTTTGCCCTCCAAGGCCATATTTCCCTATGCTTGGTGTGTTCTCACTGCGGTTTTCTCGGTGAGCTCATCGTGCCCATACAATTTTAAGCTATCTTCTTGGTTTTTTCGGTAAAGTCACGTAGAAGGGAAATGATAAAATAATAAAAATAAAACATAATAAAATAATTCTCACGACGTTTCGGCCACAACGCAAGCAGCCATTCTCAGGTGAAGAACAGGTCTGTCGGAAAGACAGCGTCTGAATGAACACCACCAGGCTTGGCAGCGTATATTTAAGCTGGGTTGGAGGGGGAAGAGCGCCTTGACAAACGAATTTGCATATCAAGAGGAATTTAGCATATTTATGGGAAATGCAGATATTGGATTAGTCACTACTTGTGGAATGCGTAGGAGGTGGACGGGGGGGTTTCAAATTTATATTATGCTTGTGCATTATGCAGGATTAGCAGCATCAAAGGGAGGGAGTAGGGTTAGCATTAATAAAGGGAAGGAATGTTAATAGTATGTAGCTGCAGTAACTAAACCACCACGTAAAAAACTAAAATATAAACTACATCAGTATCATCAGTATACCAAATATACTCTCCAATAAGCTGAGCTACTAACAGTAAGTCATACATTACAATTTTATGTCGCAAAAAATATAACATGCCTCCAGCTAAACTTTTTTTTATCTTACAGCACACGGGTCTACCCCGTACTATATACTGCCATAGACAAACCCAACATTAAATTACATACTGAATGACTATACACCACCTTAGACTATACATTGTAATATTACACTATGTATTATTCTACCCACCCTACTGTATACCACACCGCTT